GATGAAGGGGGATACAGGGTTGAAAGGGTTTGTGTTATTGAGGCAGCCCAGGTTGTCGGTTGTGCCGGTGGAGAGAGAGGTCTGGGACAGGGTTTGCGAATTGAGTGGTGGGTTTGAAGGGGATGGTGGTGGTGGTGGTGATGATGATGATGATCAGGTTGATGAGTAGGTTGGTAGTTTCTGGTCACTACTAGGTGTTTGTTGTTTTGTCTTAAAGAAAAAATGCTAATCCTAGAAATAGCCTGTTCTTTTGGGGTTTTTGTTTCTAATTTTTGTTTTCGTAGAACAAGGCTATGCTACTGTGAAGTGTTTTGGGAAAGGGTATGTGAGTTGGGTGGTGGGTTGGCGGTGGTGGTGGTGGTGAGCAGGTAGAAGCCTAGGTTGACAGTTTCTGGTCACTACTCACTAGGTGTTTGTCGTTTTGTTGCAAAGAAAAATGGTAATCCTAGAAATAGCCTTTTTTGGGTGGATTTTGTTTTTGTTTGTGAATAGAACAAGGCTAATACTAGTGTGAAATGTATTGCATGACTTTCGATGATAGTTGATAGTATGTTAAAGATTACAGAACCTTTGTTTTGTTACTCTCTCCCTGTGAAATATTTTGTGATTGAATGTGAAATATTTTGAATTTTTTCGCTCCAAATCCTCTCTATCTCCTTGTCTCACTTTGTGATTCACAAATCAAACATTGACTAAACATTGGTATCAACAAGCATTTGTGAGTAGAGGTGATGTGAGATGGTAGTTGAAGGTGGCTGAATATGGGATTGGTAGGAGAAGGTGGTTGGTTGTGGCGATGGTGGTAAGTGGCGTAAAGGTGGCTAGTCATGGTGGTGGTGGTGGTATCTGAAAATGGTTTTGGTGGACTAAGTGATTGGTTCATGGTAGTGGCTGAAAGTGGATTAGGCTGATGGGTGGAGTTCACAAATGGTGGTGACGGCTGAACCGAAAAACCTTCACTCTCCCTTTGTTTAACTAGTGGGTGGAGGTCGCTAAGCTGTATGTGGGTTCATCTACTCCTTCTACCCCTGTGTATGTGTGAAAACTACCTTTGCAAAGCCATCATTATCACCCTTTATCTTGGACTGAAAAATCCACCATCATCACTAACCACCACCATCATCGGAGTGGTTGAGGTGATGGGACAAATTTTTTCTTTTATCTCAGCTCTCTATTTTGACGTGTGCATTACAATTTTCGTTAATTTGGACAAAATTTGTAACATTTAACATTTTAGTCCAAAAGTATAAAAGGATGAAGTGCAACTGACACAAAGCACAAGGGGATAAAAAGGAATTTGCCCTTATTTTATGTTTTTGTAATATAAAAAATTCTCTATTGACTTAGATTCTCAAAAATCTTATGGCTTACATTTATAATATCGACCTCCCTTGGTCGGTTGCTGCATCTGACTAGCTAGAAAACACTATGGTGTAGAAGGAATGTGTTGTATGCTTGAAGTCAACTTCATGCTGACCACGGATGTCCAGTACCCAGTGAAAGCAAAATGGCTTTATAACCCTTTGAATGTGAATTTTCCGTCTGCTAAATTGATATGAGTTAGGGGTGACAACCGATGTAAGGTAGTATATTTGTACCGTATTATTTTATATTTGTATCTTATTTCTTAAGCCCAACGTCCGAGTTTTGGATATGCTTCGGTCTAGGTGACCCATCCTTAATCGCCCACTGGACTAGGATGCCTTGGGGGAATGCCAATAACTTGTTTGATCACCTAATTTTGAAATATTCTTAATTATTTTAAGATGTTTGTGTATATTTTGACTAATATTTTTGAATATGTTTAAAATAAATTTATAAAGTTTTTATTCATTTTTTTATTTTTAAACGGACAAAATAATTCACCAAAATAATTATTGATACCCACTAGATTATTTTGAGTAAGAATTTTTTTTTTTAGTCTAATCTATATCTATATATCTATATATATATATATACACACTACTTATAAATGTATGCATGTGTGAAAAATTTTTAATTTTTTATTTCACCCTTAATTATTACCATAAAATTAATTATATCCACATATTTTCCCGTCTTTCATACTTACTTGACTTCCAAAATATTATCTAGATAAATTTTATCTCTATGACTTGGTAAATAAACTTTATCAAAATATTACCTAGATAAATTTTATCAAAATGTTGGCTAGATAAATTTTATCTCTATGACTTGATAGTTAACCTTTATCTCTATGACAATACATTCTTTCTTTTTCATTCAATTATACAAACTCTACTAGAAGTTTAACATAACATATTGGTAATTTTTAGGTGATACATATAAATTTTATCTTTATGACAATGCATTCTTTTTATTCCATTCAATTGTACAAATTCTACTAGAATTCTAATACCACATATTGGTAATTTTTAGGTGATACATATACATACATTTTTTTGTTTTTCCTACTTATTAGACTTCTAAAATATCTTGAATTCCTTTATATAGAATCAAATTTTTCAGCAAAGTTATCAAACAAGTTTTTTTTTTTATTTATGTTAGAGTTTGAAGTTGACTTGCCATAGTCATTTATTTGAAGTCTTATGGCCTCATGCTCTTTGCGACAAACTCAATAAAGTTAAAGTTGGAATTTTCGGCATAATTGAAGTTAGTTTATCAATTTCTCTGTTTTAGTTTATTAATTCCTATGTTTATTACGTTAATTCCTATATTTTGTGGCACTTAGTTTTTCTTAATTTAATGTCTAGTAGTTTTCTAAGAGANTTCACACACACATCTTAGTCTATCTGTTTGATTATGTACATACTCCCAAAATGGTGAACGGCCGATATATGTTTCTCCGGCGTATATCTTCCCTTTACGTGTTTTTTTTTTTTATTTTTTGGGTTAAAGATACGATGGATGTTGGTGTCGGCGATTTTGGGGTTNTTGGTGTGGTAGGTCAAGTATTCGGCATAATTGAAGTTGATTTATTAATTCCTATATTTACGTTAAAATTTTCTATGTTAGTGTTTTTTTGTTTAATTACAACCTCTTGTAAATCCAATTTTTCATTGCTCGTATAACTAATATTTTGAAAGCTTGTTTAAATCTCTTATAAGTCAAAAAACATGAACTGTTAATAAAGAAGGTGTCACAGAAAAACTACTTAAGACATAATTTGCCTCTTTTTTTCCCTCTTCAATCATTTGTACAAAAATCTTCTTAATATTATATTAACAAGTCTAGGAGAACAATAAATAGAAAAGTAAACCGTGAACTAGAAAATTTTACACAAGAAATCATAGACAAGACTTCAAGAATCACAAATGTGGTTATCATAAAAATACCTAACATAACATGGTAAGCACCACATAAAAAATTAATTAATAGAAGCCAAAAAAAAATTACTACAGAAAAAACATACTAACACTCTAAAAACACTTCTAAATTATAAGTGACTAAAATTATAACTTACAAAGTTCACATAAACAAATTCATTTAATAAAAATCTGTCCATGATCAATGAATTAAAAAGAATATAAATTTTTTAACCAACAATATTCTAAAACTTATGTACTCAAAACCCCCAATGCATCAAGGGTTTGCATAAAAGATAAAAGCTTCTTGCCTGGATCTCTACAATCTAAATTCAAAGAAGCAACTCAAGAAGTATAAAATTTCAACCAATTAAAAATGACACTTGCAATCCAACTCCATTATGAGAATCTTTAAAAATGCATGTAAAGAGAGTCGGTTGTTCCAAGAAACTATAGACCCCTTATGTTTTGAAGTGAAGACATAGATTTTTCAGAAGAGAGAAGAGACTAATAAGAGAGCAAACAAAAAAACTCCAAACTAGAGTTTATTCAAATAACGGGTGTAACTTGGTTGAGCTGAGAAGTTGATGTAATTTTTGATTTCATTTATCATTTTTTGGATTCACTTTTTTTTTTTTTTTTGGGTAGAGTTTATCAATTTTTAGATAAAATATAAATAATGGATCTTTTGAGAACGCCTATTAACTGATAGTCAAACAACCTCAAACCTATTTGTTAAATTTTGTAAAAGAGCGATTGAAATCGATTCAAACCTTAATATTTTGTAATTAAATTTATTAAACTTAATTTTTCATTGCTCATACTCTATTATAACATTATAAATAAAAATTGTATGTTCCAAAAATTCGTTATTCTAACTATAGGAAAAAAAGATTTAAGAAAATACTTAAAGTTAGGTACCACACCAAAAAAAAAACGTTAATGTACTATGTACCATGTGTTGGAGTATTTTTTTATCATTTATTGACTGAAATTTATCAAATTTTGAGATTAAAAAATTATGTGCATTTTTTCTTGGTATTTTAATTATTCACTTACTTTTATAAAAAAATAATTTAATTTTATTACTCATTAATTTTATATTTTAAATAAATTTAATNTCGATCATTAATTTTTTAACTTTTCTTTTACGAAGCATATTTTGACTCTCCATAATAGTATAATTTTGGTACAATACCAAACTTTTTATCAATATTATATTTGTTTCCATTATGGGTAAATTAAAATGACACTCCGTATAAATTAGTATAATTATAAAAACACCCCCTTAGTTTTTTGAAATATCACTGACACCTCTTTTTTTTTATCCATCCATTTTACAGAGTACTCNTAAAAAAATAATTTAATTTTATTACTCATTAATTTTATATTTTAAATAAATTTAATAACAAATTAATGGACTAAATTTTTTTCGCGTAAAAAACGAGTGTGCATTTAGTCTAATAGTTAAAAAAAGTCCAAAACAATTTATGCGTATCATAACTGATCTTTACCGTTAGCCCAGAATAGAACAGAAAAAAAATTGGAGCGAAAAAATTGGTAACTGACGAAGGGACATCCAATGGTACGCTCGTAATAATCTCCAGAGCCAAGGACATTTATCAATTCTTCGGTGAATAAAACCTAAAGGCGCGCACTCATTGAGCTCGTTGGGAGTCTCTCTCTCTCTCTCTCTGTATGCGATACAGTGTACAAATGGCGAACCAGTTGGAGAATTTGGTGGAGTCGATAAAGTCTAAGGTTCGTGCCCTAAAGAAGTCCAAGAAGAAGCCATACATTAAAATGGATAAGAGCTCAAGCGTCAAGATTGAGATCCGTAGCAAGCAAGCTCGTAAGCTCATCGACAAAACCCTCAAAGCCGCTGATCGTCCCGGTAAACATAGCATTCCGTAACGCCCCCCTCTCTTCACACACACATCTTAGTCTATCTGTTTGATTATGTACATACTCCCAAAATGGTGAACGGCCGATATATGTTTCTCCGGCGTATATCTTCCCTTTACGTGTTTTTTTTTTTTATTTTTTGGGTTAAAGATACGATGGATGTTGGTGTCGGCGATTTTGGGGTTTGGAACTGATTCGGTTTTAGATTATAATAAAATTTTTAGTTAAATGTCAATGATTGTTCTTTTTGATAGTGTTTATAGTTAGATGTACAAAAACTTGAGCCAGATCAACTGTAGTCATTGTGGATTGACCTGCTGATCCAACATTGCAAGTGATTTAATATAAATTTTGATACATATTTTTGATATACATATCATTGCTCTTTTATTTTTAAATTCTGGGTTATAGACTTATAGTTAGTCTAATAGATATTGTCATTATTGGTATGTCATGGAGTCTGGTGAATGCAGAGATCTTCATTATATATATATATATATATATATATATATATATTTTTGGTCCCCGGTCAGAGTCCGATTTAATTTACTCAGACNAAAACAAGAAAGAACAAGACACAGATTTTACGTGATTCGACAATTTACCTACGTCCACGAAACTGCAGGATTTTCACTATTTAAAGAGAGGATTACAGAGAACGGCTATACACCTCGATCAAACCCTAATCACCAAAGTAGTGGTCTTTTATATGTTCTATGCACTGAGTTACAAAACAGGCTCAAAAAATTTTCCACGGGGCGTTGCCCCTGAACTCCTATGAGCACTACGGCTTGACCTTATCGGTCCAAGTTTTCGCTCCATAGACGAAATCTCAAAAAAATTTTATTAAAAAATCACGCAACATTACTTCAGTTGAGTCATCATTTGGATCAACATACAAACTAGACTCTATAAACGACTCAACAATAAATTTTGGTTTGGGTTATTTATAACTGTTGATTGTGAAATACTCAAATAAAGAAAAGCTAAAAAAAAAAAAGGATGACTTACCTTGTGTCCTGTTCAGTTAAGTTAAAATAAATAGAAGTATAATACTAATAAATTATTTTTTGGTATAAAAGTCTAACCCTATGATTATTAGAAAAGTTTACGGTACTAATTTTTTTTTTGTGGTATTGTATCATGGATTATTATTTTTTATAGTAAAATTACAAATTTAAAATAAAAAATTATAATTACCTCATGATTGATAATAGATATCATGATTGATTGTGCTCTTAAAAATTATAACTGACAGGATGTGGTATGTTGGACCAACCAGAAGCAAACATTTGGCATACTCTGCCAACAAGTGCAGAGGTGATAATGCTCGGTCTCAGAGGATGTCCTCAGGGTAGGGAACTTTCTCGGCATTGTCATGTTNGATTTAATTTACTCAGACGTCAATTAATTTCTTTTTTATTTTAATCAAATACAGACTATTCATACTAAAATTAAGAGTTATTAAGATTCGAATTCAAAATATTTAAATTTATTATATTTTTATTTAATTTTATTCAATGATAACAATAGACCACCCAACCATATACCGGGGATGATATATTACTCAATGATATATTATGTAATAAAGAGAATCTTAATTGGTGCGTGCACTTATCTTGATGTGATTGATAAACTTACTATGTTTTTAAAAAAAATCTTTAATCACTAATATTCAATATAGAGTGGAATTTGTTTATTTGAGACTTCTTTGTATTGTGTGGAAAGTTATAATATTTAAAATTAAGTTATATTTTTTAAGAATTTAAGTTGTAATTTAAAAAGTTTTGATCAAATAAATAATCGATGAAAAAAATATAATAAATTTTAAAGGTCAAGGATGAGTTACACTTAATAATTGATGATGAAAAATACAATTTTTAAAAATTAATGATAAGTTATACTCAACGATCATTAATTTTTTAACTTTTCTTTTACAAAGTATATTTTGACTCTCCATAATAGTATAAATTTGGTACAATACCAAACTTTTTATCAATATTATAATTGTTTCCATTATGGGTAAATTAAAATGACACTCCCTATAAATTAGTATAATTATAAAAACACCCCCTTAGTTTTTGAAATATCACTGACACCTCTTTTTTTTTATCCATCCATTTTACAGAGTACTCCTGTCATTAGCACCCTAACTCTGCTCGCCAACCTCAACAAAAGGAAGGGGTAGGGAAGGCAAGCCTATATAAATTGGAGATTTTTATAGTTAATATTAATAGAATATAAAGATTCTTCTTGTCCGTACCTTGTAATCTATGTGGTTGGTGACATTCGATCCCATTTAGTCTAGAAAAAGGCTTGAAATTATGAAGTGTATTATTAAGATATAAGATTATGGTATCGAATTTTTTTTTTTTTGTATCATAAAATGTATTATTAAGATAAGACTACAGTATCGAAAAATATCTTTTTTTATATCATAAAATGATTCTCAATCATAAATGTTGGGATTTAATACGCTTTAAATTCATAGACAAACACACACAATCGAAGAATAAACCAAGAACATAAAACAATAAAAAACAAGAAAGAACAAGACACAGATTTTACGTGATTCGACAATTTACCTACGTCCACGAAACTGCAGGATTTTCACTATTTAAAGAGAGGATTACAGAGAACGGCTATACACCTCGATCAAACCCTAATCACCAAAGTAGTGGTCTTTTATATGTTCTATGCACTGAGTTACAAAACAGGCTCAAAAAATTTTCCACGGGGCGTTGCCCCTGAACTCCTATGAGCACTACGGCTTGACCTTATCGGTCCAAGTTTTCGCTCCATAGACGAAATCTCAAAAAAATTTTATTAAAAAATCACGCAACATTACTTCAGTTGAGTCATCATTTGGATCAACATACAAACTAGACTCTATAAACGACTCAACAATAAATTTTGGTTTGGGTTATTTATAACTGTTGATTGTGAAATACTCAAATAAAGAAAAGCTAAAAAAAAAAAAGGATGACTTACCTTGTGTCCTGTTCAGTTAAGTTAAAATAAATAGAAGTATAATACTAATAAATTATTTTTTGGTATAAAAGTCTAACCCTATGATTATTAGAAAAGTTTACGGTACTAATTTTTTTTTTGTGGTATTGTATCATGGATTATTATTTTTTATAGTAAAATTACAAATTTAAAATAAAAAATTATAATTACCTCATGATTGATAATAGATATCATGATTGATTGTGCTCTTAAAAATTATAACTGACAGGATGTGGTATGTTGGACCAACCAGAAGCAAACATTTGGCATACTCTGCCAACAAGTGCAGAGGTGATAATGCTCGGTCTCAGAGGATGTCCTCAGGGTAGGGAACTTTCTCGGCATTGTCATGTTGACTAAAGAGCGTTAGGATTTCCTTGGTATTGTTATGCACGCCTTGAGGTCAAGAAGATCAGACTACCAATGAAGAATTGACCGAGGCACTTTAGAGATGATTAACCGTACACACCCACCACGTCGATCAGCATAATGAAAGACATATGACTTTGCGTCAGTAGGAATGCCACCTAAGAATAAACGAAGGAATGTCTTATGAAAAAACTGTGCTCGACTATCAATTGGCATAGGTTCTTCGTGTCATGTTGTCAGATTCAATAGAGTATTATACTGCAATCAATCATGGGATAAATTCTAAAGGATACAATAAATGCTCCTCATGAGCATATGACAAACGGCTCAGAGATATTTAGTATTCAGGGTATAAAAAGAGAGAGAATATTAATCTCTTGCATATTGTGAAATCCTGAACATTTACTTCTGTAGAGTTTGTTGTTTAACGTCAAGTCTCATAATGATTGCTCAAAATTAGTATTAATAATCGACAAGGATTTGGAGGCTTAGGGAGTAATCTCATTAATATGCATTAGATTGACGAGCATGTCAAAGATCGAGGTCAAAGGAGTACCCTACTCGATGCCCAACCGCCTGACCAGGTCAAAGAAACAACCTTGCTATCTCAAGGGTGAGCCAATTAGGAGTCCTCACATCAAGGGGGTTCATATGAATATTTTTGATAGACGCACTCGTCCCCCAAAAAAGTATAGATAACATTCTTAAACGAGAAACAGATATACATTCTCACAACCCAACACTTAACATTGTCTTCACCCCCTCAAAAATTGACTTTAGCATTGTAGGAAAATCACCGAAGACACCTTCGGCTTCCCTTCTAATATTTCTATGTGATTCTCAAGTTTTCGTCATCCTCGATCTTAAGAGCAACCCTTGAGTGTCAACCATAGTGCTTCTATGTCATTATTATGTAAGAAATTACCTACATAGTAACTTATATCTAAAAAAAATTGTAACTTAATTTTAAAAAATTATAATTTTTAATACGATACCACTAACGGTCCTATAACCTTTCTCTTACTAGTGATGACATTTGAATAAAAAATAATATCTATCTTCCGGGTGCTTTTGAATACTTGATCAAAAGAAAACACTTATGGCTTGGCTGAGGAATGAAAATGTGAACTCTGACTATCAAAATATGCATTTATATTCGTTTCCTACACTAAAGGCCAATGAATTTTTGGATTTGGATTAGATTGTGTGATCGGGAGTCAAAGGTTTGAATCACAATAACAGTGTATTTGCATGCGTGATATGACTGTGTTCGTCTAATTTTTCTTAATTGTTATGGTGATAATCTCGTGCACTGAATTGTCTTTTTTACCCACAATTAGAAAGAAAAAATTTATCAAAGTTACAACGTCTTAGGGCTTCTTTATTTGAGTACTATTGTTACGGATCAATCTATTTCTTGTAAATGAAAAGTTACAATTATTTGAGATAGGTCATAATATTTATATGATCAATCATAGCATTGCAATATGTCATAATACGTTATAATCAATCACAAACTACTTCAATTAGTTGTAATTTGACATTTAAAAGGTCTAACTTAATATTTAAAAAATATGTAATTTGACCTGTAAAATGTATTTTTTTTTATGATCAATTATTGTATTTTATGGCCAATCATAACTTTTTGAGTCCTAACTTTAACCCTCAAAATGTTGTAATTTAATTTTTAAAACATTTTATCTTTTGATATAATACCGAATGAGGTACCGCAGTTCCCTAGATTGAATGGTAATAACACTAGTTGAATCTAATTTTTTGAGTCAATATATACTAGTGTCATTAGATTCTCGATGGATTGCATTAACTATTGAAATCCACTAGTAATAGATCCACATAGTTAAATTGCGACATGCGAGAATAAAAAGTGAAGGAATAAGGACATCTTTCTACGTCGAAAAGTTTGTTATAAAAATCATAGATGAATTCTTGAAGCACCCAATTCTACGTTCCTGTCAGTTTCGAATTCGGGTCACAATTTTTAAATCAATCTCTTGCTATCCTTATTTTTTGGGGGGGTAATCGAGCACTATTACATTGAGATGAACGACGAGATTCGAGTTTAAAGTCTAACAGAAGTGCAAGACTTCGTAGAAAGGTCTGTTAATTACCAGGCCCTGCCCAACTTTGGGGCTATGTGTTCAACTGCAAGGATAGGCCCAAGCTCATCTGCTCTTAACATTTTTGTACGAGATTGGTTTAGTCCCTCATTTGCTGTTCATGGGAAGCTCGATAGCCCGTTGTGTAGGGTCATCGACTGTTGTTTTGGGCTTGATATATTCCACATTGCTGGTCCAATTAAGGCCCACAATGGACTGCCCACAGGCTGGCCTACCACTCAAAAAAAATCAAGAAAGAATTAGAACAGATTTGAAAATTTCACAAAGATAACAATGAAACAGAGACCCGATGCAATTGGCCAATTGAGTGGGCCTTGGGCCGTAAGTTTTTCTATCACAACTGATCCATCTCGATCAAGGGCGTAACCAGCATTCAAGTTTAAGGGTGGCAATATGTGACTAAAAAATTTTATCAAAACGACTGTAACAACAAAATTTCGTGTGTAATATTAACACAAAGATAATGTCAAAATTATAATTGTTGAATGATTTGACTTGATTTAATTTAATAAAGTGGTGTTGATTCTTTTCGATGTATTTCTCATGTCCATTGTCATCTGATTCTCTGTGAATTTGATGATGACAAAGGCTGGACTGGCGTGTTTCTCGATCTTTAATTTGATGGTGATTTTAATGAATTTCATGAAAACAAGTGCTTGATCAGCGTGTTCCTCAATCTTTGATTTTGGTGATGCTTTAATAGATTTGTTAAAGACAAAAGTTAAATTGACATGATTCTCGTTCTTCGATCTTTGATTTGGTGAATTTGTTGAAGACAAAAGTTTGAACAAAATCTCATTTTTCGATCTTTGACTTAACTTTGTTGAATTTTTTTGCCGTTCTTTATGTTGAATGATTTGAAGATAATTTGGATCTCTTGAAGAAAGATCTTAGTGGTATTTCTTCTCCTTAAAGATAGATTTGCAAGAATCCAGTTGTGGGTAGACTCTGACTGAGCTTCATTGTTGATGTTCCTTTCTTTTCTTGAGATGGACTCGGGCGAAGGTTTTTTGAACTTCCCTCCTCCTTGGCTTCTCTTGCCTCTTTTTTAGTCTTCTCAGACCTCTATTTATAGAGGTGGGGGTAGTTATCCATAATATTCTTGTATGGGCTTTAGATAGCAGGTCACCTTTATTCATTTAATTTTATGGGCTTTAATTGATTTATATTATTTGAGCTTATGAAAAATGTAGGTTCAAATTAATTTAATATGACAAGCTTAGTTAATTAAATTTAGACTTGTATTATTTGGGTTGTGGAGTTTAAGTCCAATTCAAGCCTATGGAATTTCGGTGACTTTGTATTATTTTGGGCTTTATGAAATTTAAATTCAACCCAATTTAATTTAAGAAGTTATTTAATTAGATTTAGGCCTAACAATAGACTAATTTTTTAATGTCTACAACGACCCAGTGTACGAGATTTCTATTAATACGGAGTTTTGGAGAGAATCATACTCACACAATCAATATCAGATGACTAAAAAACTTTTAAGACTAAATTATTGTGATGAGTCCTATACACACAGGTGGTGTTTGGATGAAAGGATTGAGGGGGATTGGATTAAAATTGTGAATAGGTCCACTTATTCCTAGTTTGGGTAATTTTTTGGCATGAGATTGGATTGGGATTTGAATTCCTCGGGCCATAGGTTTTGAAGGGTTCAATCCCCTCTACAGGCCATTGAACAATTCCTTCCGCTGTGGGGGATTCAAAATTGTGAAATGGGATTGCATATGAAAAATCAAAAATATCCTCCACAGTAAATACTTACCTCTGTGTATCGATTTTTGAAACTTTACATGGGCTCTGATTTTTCCATGGAAGTATCAGATCTGTGAATAGTTTCACTGCGCATATCTGGGTAAATTTTTTGGTCTGCAACCTCCATTTGTTTGGGAGAAAATAGAGATGATCTCCACGGTAACTCATCTCAATTTGTTTGAGAAGATAGAAAGGAAAGAAGATAAATTTTTTCAGAAGCTTTTCTTTCTCTCCGTCTCACTCTTTCTCTCTGTTTGTCACTGAAGTCGAAGCATCTGTGGAGAAGATGAGCAATTAACCGCATTAAAATCCACTTTCTACCCCCTCAATTCAATTTTTTTGCACTTTACCCCCTTATGTTCATAAATTAGCACATAACTCTCAGGTTTTTTTTTTTTTTCACTTTATACAACTCTAAAAAAATTAACATATTAATTAAAGTAACATATTTTAAATTGACCTGATTTTTGCTATTAATTCAGACAATAATATTAAAATGCCCTAAAATTCATGAAAAATAAATTGAATTTAGGTCATTGAAAATTTTTTGGATTGAGTTCGAATTAATTTTGCTATTTATTGAAAAAAAAATTTGTGATTAAAAGTGAATTGTACAAATTAAATTAAATAAATGAACAAAATATTTATTGTAATCTTTTGTAAAAATGCGTAAGGTATTGATTCGTATTTTTTTTTGCAAATAAGGCAATACTAATGGATTTGACCTTTTTTTCATTCCATAACAAACATAATATAGGATTGGATAACATTTTTTTATACAAGGGTAAAATGGTCATTTGAGTATGTTATACAACTAATTGTGAATGGGACCCACAAACCAAGCCAAACATATCTAAAGATGGGATATGATTTGAATCTTATCCTTATAAGGGGTGTTTGGGGGCACCAGATAAAGGTGGATATCAAGGGGGATTGGACTAAAAATATCCAAAAGACCCACTTATCCTTGATTTGACAACAAAATTGAGGAGGGGATATTCGTTACCTTCAAAAATTCGGGCCGTATGTTTTGGGGACAAATATCCCCTCTGAAACTG